AGAGGACTAAGGGATAAATACATTGCAGATGCATATAAAATTCTAAGAATTAATAAAAACTTTATATTAAAAAGGCTAATTCTAACATCTCTATTTATATGCAAATGCAAAGGACCTAGAATAACCAAAACTATTTTATAAAGGAGAAAAATTTGGAGGACTCAGACTGATTTCAAGATTTAACACAAAGCTACTGTAATCTAGAAAGTGTTGCATTAACATAAGAATAGACATACAGACCAAGGGAACTGAATAGAGGGTTTGGAAACACACCTTTGCATCACTTTTTCATTTTCATCACGAGTGCCAAGGCTATTCAACAAGAAAGAATAGGCTGTTTTCCTAGCAAATAGTGCTATAACAATTGCGTGTATATATATATGCAAAAATGAAAATGAATTTAAGTTCATAATACTACATAAAAGTTAACTTTGAACTGGCTTAGACATAAATACCAGCACTTAAACTTTAGAATTTCTAGAAGAAAACATAGGGAAAACTTTGTGACTTTAGGTTAAGCAAAGACATGACACCAAAAGAATGAGCCGTGTTAAAATGAACCTGATACACTTTACTTTACCCAGTCACAATCCCACAATCCTCTGTGCTTCTGCCCCAAAGGCACCAACAAGAAAATGGACAAATAAGCCACAGATCTGAAGGAAGCATTTGCAAATCATCTGTTGACTCAGAATTTGTGTATACAATGAGCTTTTGTAATTTAGGAGGGCAAATAGGGTGTTGATATAGCTGTGACAGAGACTTGTCTAGCATTTATCAGACCCTGGGTTCAATTCTCAGTATAAAAACACATGAAAGAAAAGATAATAACTAGTCCAATGTATAATTGGGAGAATATTTAATGATATATGTTACTAAAGAAGTTTTGAATACCAATAAACATATGAAAACATGTAAAAAGATCAGAGATATGCAGGTTAAAGCCATGAGAAAGTGTCAGGAAGTCCACTTTCAATAGGCTGACTTCCCTAAAGGTTTATTAAATCAAAGGTGAGAAACAATGGGCAAAAACTGGGGGCTTCAGACATTGTTATGGTATATTTGCTGAGGGAATATAGAAGCCAGCCATTATGGAAGCCATCTAGACAATTTATTAACAGTTTAAACATATTCTTTTTATATAACCCAGCAATACCATTTTTGGGTATCTACGCCACAAAGTGAGAACATCTGCATAAGCAGACAGTTGAATCCAAATGTTCATAAAAATATTGTTCATAAATGCCCAAAGATGAAAACAACTCAAATAACCACCCACTGTGAGTATTGCCGCCCATGAGGCACTTTTGAGAGAGGCATTCCCACTGAGGGTCAGTATTTGGGTACAAAGTGACTAACAAAAGGTCCATATCACTGAACAATAAAGGCAATAAGAGAAACAAACTTTTCATACATGTGTATCTGTTAGGTGATTCTCAACAACATGATGTTAAATAAAACACTATATACTATATGATGTTAGTCATAAAATATTCTTGAAAGGTAAAATGATTCAGAAAAGCGGATTGGTGGTTCCTCCAGGCTGTAGGTGGGAGAGGAGACGGGTGACAAACAGGTCTGAGGGACACGGGATGAAGGACGCTCTAGGGGGATGCTGCTCCTGTACAAGGATATCATGTGTGAAGAACTCAGTGAGGTCCACACTTGCAATTGGCAAATGTTATGATATATAAACTATGCCACATGGTATATATTTAATAAGTTAAATATATTCTCCTAGTCAAGACATTTTAAAGCAAAACATACATATGCATGATGTCATTCCATCTATATTAGAGCATATGTTTTATATATGCATCACCAGACTACATACTTTCTATAAGTACATATACAAAAATATGTTTTCCTTTAGGAAAAAGATTGAAAGTATAGGTAGAACAGAAAATCACTTTTCATTATATGCTGTCTGAATTAGTTACTAAAAATATTCAACTACCTGCATCATTGCTTTATAAATGAAAATACCAACAAACAAGACAATCAGCCATGGTCTTAAAATAAGAACCCAGCTTTGAGGAACTTTGCTCATCTGAATGAGACCATCAGCACTTCTGAGTGGCCTATAACAAGATAATCAAAATGAATCATCACACAAACATGGTGTGGCTCTTATTAACTTCAGAGAAGAGTGGACACTGTAGGAATTCCAGGAGCCTCAGTAGGTTGACAAGGACTTTCAGATTCCACAGTGCTGCTCTAGTGAGAAAGGTAAGGCATCACTTACCCAAGTGAACAAAATGCAGATGGAAGGCTCATCACTAGAGGACTGGGTAAGTGACCAGAGAGAGCAAGGTGAGTGAGTGATCATAGAGAGCAGGGTGAGTGACCAGAGAGAGCAAGGTGAGTGAGTAACCAGAGAGAGCAAGGTGAGTGAGTGATCATGGAGAGCAGGGTAAGTGAGTGACCAGAGAGAGCAAGGTGAGTGAGTGACCAGAGAGAGCAGGGTAAGTGAGTGACCAGAGAGAGCAGGGTGAGTGAGTGATCATAGAAAGCAGGGTAAGTGAGTGACCAGAGAGAGCAAGGTTAGTGAGTGACCAGAGAGAACAAGGTGAGTGAGTGACCAGAGAGAGCAGGGTGAGTGAGTGACCAGAGGGAGCAAGGTGAGTGAGTGACCAGAGAGAGCAAGGTGAGTGAGTGACCAGAGAGAGCAGGGTGAGTGAGTGATCAGAGAGAGCAAGGTTAGTGAGTGATCATAGAGAGCAGGGTGAGTGAGTGATCATAGAGAGCAGGGTAAGTGAGTGACCAGAGAGAGCAGGGTGAGTGAGTGACCAGAGAGAGCAAGGTTAGTGAGTGATCATAGAGAGCAAGGTGAGTGAGTGATCATAGAGA